TGTCTTTCAAGTCAGAAACTCGACAATGATCTGCTATTTAGTGATGGTCTTCTACTCTGGAAAGAATTAGAGAAAAAAAAGTGCTTTTAAAAAGACAAAGAAATTATGTTTTTTATAAAATAAATGTCAAACTCAAATTACAAATAAACTATGATGACAGACGTCTATATCTATTTGTTTTTATGTAAATATAATGGATATTATACTTGTTGAGACAGACTGATTCGACTTGAACAACATATGCCTATGACCAAAACACTAGCTAGAAATAAACTCACAACAGTTGTATAATCTCAGATGTAGGGTGTAAATGAATAACATCAATAGTCATAGAAGAAATTTTGACATGTCTTTCCAAAAAAAAAAGAAGAAGAGATTTCAGGATGAAAATTTCAGAAGAAAACTTTCGAAATAGAATCGAAAAAATTCGTTCAAGGATAACTAACACATCTTTTATGTTTGATACACGATCACAATTTGACGCTCTTGATATATAAGTTTTGCTTAACTATTACACACTGACCTTCGTCTCGAGTTCTTCGACAAACGCGCTATATAATGCTACTTATGTATTACTCTAGTGTAAAGAGTTCTGCTTCAACCCTGAACGGATTAAATTCCGAATTTTTGAAACGTTTTTTCGTGAATAATTGCTGTTTCGAACGAAAGCATTGTTAAGTTACCCTATATGAGAAAATACGACAAAAATTGTTATTCAAGACAATGACACGCGGTCTCTATTGTCTGGTTATTATTTTATTTATCAATAAAAATCAAAAAAGTATTCTCATATCTTGAAAATTCTAACTGATTTAAAAGAACGAAAAAAATCATGTGATCTGAACTATGATTAGAAAGCATCACAAAATGTTTTGTTTAAGCTGAAACTCTAGATATGTATCGTATGCTGTTCTTTTTTTTGTTATTTCCTATCAGAAAGTCAAAAAACATAATAAAAAAACAGAGACTCTATGCTCTGTTTAACGAGCAAACAACAATTGAAAGCTTTACATCTATACAGTTAGATCAATTTAGTGAATAATATAAATAATGTTAAAAACAATGAGGTCGTAGACAAAAAGCGGAAACGGAAATGGAAAAACGGCGGCGATAGTTTTACATTAATTTTAAAAGCAGTATTAAAATCTATTTAGTTCATAAAGTTCAGAGTGTTTGAAAATCCATATTACCAAATCGAAAAATTTTAAAAACTTCTTCGATCAAAATCGATTGCAGATTCGTCCTCTCCATAGTCGATTATTTTGTACACGATAACTTTTGGATCGAGGTACTTCAGAAAAAAATTTGCTTATGGTCTTGCTCATAAATTTTCGGAAAAGTCACTGCATGGGACCAGAGGCAAAACGATGTTGAAAATTTTGGCACCACGTCGGATGCGGAACGAGAAAACTTCTTTTTTTAAAAATTTCGGGCTAAACAAAGTTTCTAAATACTATGTTTAATTCAAAAAGGGATTTGAAATCTAATTTACAATTGTTTGTTTCTGAAAGCATGACATTGACAAACAATAATTAACTAAATAAATTTGAATTTAACAGTAGTGCATCGATTTTGGGTCTCTCTTTATCGCGTTTAACTTCGTTAATGAAAAACTGTTTAGATGGTTGTTGAAACATTTAACGTTGCGCTGATGCGAGTAGTGTAGTCAAATCTCTTTCTTTAACGATGTTCATCATTGTAAGAATAAACGCAAAATAATATTATTTGTGAAAAATTTTACACGTAATCAGTTTTTCTTTCTTAGAGTGAGAAAAGAAAGTTCTATAAATCAATCATATCTCATGGCAATGTTTTATATTCTCTTAATCGTGTATAATGTTTCGCACGCTAGTTCTATGCACTGTTCTTCTGACATCGTGTTCGGCATGTTGTCTATGCTTTTACTTATAGTCCGAATTTGTGACATTCGACAGATTTTTTGGCTTCATCTCTTCAACGCTTTTGCCATCGTTAAATCAACATATCGAATTAAAACAAAAAATGATTTTATTTTGGCAAGTATATAGGTGGTATACATGTTGAATAAGAATTCTCACGTATACTTTTCTTTTCAGATCTTTTTTTAATTTGTTTTATCATAATTGAACAATAATAAATCATATTCAAACAAAAACTGACATAAAATTGATGTTTACGACTGCGTTTCTTCTCTTTCAAGCGAATCATGAAACCCTGTCAATATAAATATATTTCAATCTGCGAGAATAAAAATAAAAATAAAATTTCATTAAACTGAAGTGTTTGCTTGTCATCAGTTCAAATCATTAAGCAATCGTTTCTAATAAATGTTACATAGCGCATCTACTTTTCCGATAAGCATCATATTTTTCGTTTTCTCACCGTTATCATTACACAATTATCAGCTTATTTCTGTAGACGGTTAAATATCGATTGTTCCCAACCACTCTTTCATGGGATATTTTGAAAGCTCGGATTTTCAGGTTTTCAGTATGTTGCGAGCCCTCTAATAGAGATATTTAGGATTTCTGTCGCACTCCTGAATTTTTTTAGTCTGCGTTGGTTAATAGATCAATGAACTGAAAAAAAGGTTACATGTAATAAATTCTTTGTGATTATCACCGAATTTTATTTGTGATTAAAGCGTTAATTACATATTCACAATTTCGAATATGAACACTTGTTGGAAAATTCAATCATAAAGACAAAGATTTAGACTCGCTTTTCTTTCATTTTCGAGTTGTAAAGTTTTACAGCTATTTGATATAGATATCGTCGGTTTTTTAATACTTGTGACGCAATTGTGATCGCTGCAATCACACATCTGCGCTGTCACGAACGCACTTTGCCGCATTGTGCGACGCAATGCGATCACATTGCAATCGAATTGCAACATAAGTTTACCGCAATCAAAAACAGGAGGAAAAACTCGTATGTATTGTCACTGATAATGCGTCCAATAATTTAGCTACGTTTGACAATACTTAAATTCAAATACTTGGATTCTCAGAATATTTCGATGAAGATATTGTGAATAATAATAATAGCAACAATATCGATGAAACAGTTCTTCTCTTTTTACATATAGTTCAGAATGGGAATAAATAATAAAACTTAATTTTCTAATCATAAAAGCTTTTTATTCAAAATAAAGTTGATATTCATGATCTAAATAAAAACTGAATCGAACTATATAAAATTCAGCTAATTCTTTTACACTTTTTTTCCATATTTGTACAAGAAACATACTTGTACAACATCGTTTTCCTGCTTTTCCTTCCATTTAATATTTTCGTCAATGAAAAAACACGATCCAAAATATATTTTGTGGATCGTTTTTTACGACATGTTATTTATGGCTAAAAAAAGAAGTAAACCTTATATCGTCTCATGTGAGCGAATGAGCCTTAAAGAATTTTTCTTTGAGACATAACAGACAAATCAAAAAATTTCGCCAAAGGAGAATACCAAATATGTATGAGGAGCATCAGCTTTGATGTAATCGAAGATGGAAACAAAATTTTTCCCTACTTTATTGTAACCTTACTCTTTTCTCAGAAATTGTATATAGAGCTTCAATTCCCATTTCACATCCTGATGAATTCAGGCTTTATCTTTTATAAAAATAATATAAAGAACTTTATTCAAAAAAAAAGAAATTGATGATTACACAAAAACAAAAACGTCACAAATACATTCGTCAATCACAGAAGAAAAACATGCCCAATGTAATCGAGATCTCCATCAAAACCAAATCAAAAAGAATTCACGAACAGATGGTAATTCGAAAATGAATTCGTTCAATAAATGAACAACTTCTAATAGAACATGCATACTCCATACAATTAGCATGAAAACAAACAAATCCCAAAAGCAAAACAAAAAAAATCACATTAAATTTTCAGTTGAAGTTGAAAGACAGAGAAAATGTAAAACAGTTAAAAGAAAAAGGTATATATATATATCCTGATTAACACAAGTATTAGTACCAAAAAAAAAAGAAACAAAACCAAACACCCGTTTAGACTGTAAATCCGGAATGTATAAGTAAATTAACACGATTACGCGTCTTTTACGTAACTATAAGAAAAAAAAATGAACCAAAAATACAAAAAGATCAAAAGAACAACAGAAAATCTGTTCATCACTTTCGCTTTAAAAATGGCTAAATTCTTCATCTCTTTTGAAAATGATGCACACTGAAAAGAGAGAACATAACAAGATAGTTTTGTATTCAATTACCTGACACAATCGGATCAAGTTCAAAATTCAAGTTGAAAGTGAAAATTCTTAAGATCTAAGGTGCACCTAATGCAAATTTACAGCAAAAAATTTTTTCCAACTTATTATACATTGTTTGATAGAGCGCATCAAGCTGATTAAGAAAATATACTTTTATAATTTTTGAAAAAAGCTCTTTCATGGTAAAAAATTCATGTTAGAAAAACTCGAAAAATTCAAGTTCAAAAAAATTTAAATTTTCCTTGTCTTTGTTAGTCTGTATTTTCTAAAGTAGTTTTTTCTTATTCAGCATTAAATATTGAATAGAAAAATGGTGTTTGATCAATGTCAAAGTTAAAGACTTGTCCAGTATAGGTGTCCCAAACGAACTTCCTAAAATGCCGTCAACCAATTTTATAAACATATATATTAAAAAATTTGAAATACACATCAGTATACATTTTCTTAACCAGCTCGATGCGCTATATCCAACGATGTATAACAAGCTGGAAACAAAATTTTGCTGTAAGTTTGCATTAGGCACACTTAAAAGGGATCAAGGAACTAAAACTTTGGGAGGACAATCTTAAACTAGTATGAAAGCTATGTAGTATCTGATCATTTTTCACTTCTTTGATAAAACAAAAGTAGGAGAAATCGTTCCCACGTTACTTTCCTCAGTAAAACACTGCAGGAGCTACTTCTGGGAACGGCTGTTTCTTAATCAACTTTACCTTATAAAACAATAATATTTATCACAAAAGATATAAAAACAAAACCAAAACCAAAATTGTTTGTACCTAGGATCTGAAAAATGAAAAAGACAATATGCAACAGATTTAGTTTGAGTTAATAGAACTTTTACTCCACTCACTTACCTATTATTATTGTATCTTGATCCACCATCATGGGAATTTCTCGGTCGTTCCCTTGAACTATAACGTCTTTGTCCGCTGCTGCTGTTAGTATTATCACCCCGACGCTGTTGTTGTATCGGTGACCGTGATCTAAACCATTTTAAAATTATATTCATTTACCAAATATATAGCCAAATGATCGATATTTCTGACCATAAATCCAAACGCAACAACAACAGACCATATTCATACAAAAACGAACACTTCCATGTACACATGCATGTACAATATCAAAGCAATCGATCATCTAACTACAAATAGGCTTATGTAGTCAACAACAACACACTTTGTTATTCCAAACCCAAATATAGTATACAGATATTCGAAACACCAAAACTGTCTCTCCAACTGGGAGGATACTTTTTTCTTTCATCTGTCTTCAATCTCCCATAAGCTGCGTATTTGTGTGTGCCTGTGTTTGAGCTATTCAAGAAATATAATCGATGTAAAGACGAATAAACACACTAAAGTGTCACTTCTGTCCGTTTAGTACCGGCAAAGATAATATTATTATTTAATGTCTTTTGTTGTTTGAATCTATTTACCTTGATTGACGGCTATATTGTCGTCTACTATCTCTTCCATCTCTATCACCATCTTTTCGATATGCTGAAGATCTTGTTTGTGATAAACCCTCACAATCGCGACTAAAAATAAATTATACTTATTAGTCTTATATCAGAAATATTATCTTTGTATTCTCACCTAAAATGCCCTCGTTGACCACATTGGTAACAACGCATGTTTGGATCAAATCTTCGCGGACGATCTCTTATACGTGGACCTCAGGAGAAAAAAACGAGATTGAAATTAGCAATGTTGTTCCAGATACAAAGCCATGAATACTCACGAGCCCATGTCACCCGTATTCTTGTTCCACTAAATGATCTTAACAGAAAAGGATAACTGGATAACAACTGTCACTTTTGAAACCGTTTATTGAAAAGTATTATAATAGAGAAGAAGAGATGTTTTGAATTTTTTACGTACGCCAGAATGAACATTTTAGATAGTAATTTCCTCAGTTCAGTTAACTAACAGTTTTGTAGTCATCTTATGTCATACCTTCCGTCCATAACATCGATAGCTTTCTGTGCATCTGATTTGTATTTATAGACCACAAATGCAAAACATGATGCTTGTGCATGCCATACTTCTTAAATTAAGAAAGACTTTTTAGATTTTAATTATTTACGAATAGACAGTTCATCCTCACCAGCTATTTGTCCAAATTCTGAAAATGTCTTTTCAATCTCCTTTTGTTTACAACTTGATGAAAGTTCTGCAATATGGATTCGAAATTGATCATCATCATAATTATTACGTCCACCACGATAACGCGAATCATAATCAGATGGTGAGGGAGAACGAGAAGCTGGTGATCGTGAGCGGGGCATTATTTTTATCTAAAATATAGAATAGTCAATGAAATTCATAGAATAAACTATGTAAAAAAACACTCAGAAAACATCCAGAATACACTAGATAACATTTACAGAGAAATAATCCATTTACTATCTTGGACTATTTCAAGTTATGAATTAATTACAAAAGTATTGTATTTACCCATCCATCAATTGTACGATTTACTCTATTTCTTAGCGCATTTTAGATCAACTATAAAAAGGACAATATCCAGTGAAAAATTTTAGTGAGTTCTTATCAGTTAACAAATGTTACGCGTTAATTAGCGTAAAATTCTTGTTTTATGGCGATGAACACATTGAACATTTTTTCACTTAATGCTGTAACGCGTATTCGATCACTAGAATTTTCATTGTGTATAATCTGTAGCAAACTGACCTATAGTTTTAGAAATAAAATCTTAGATAACTTCACAAATGACTTGCTACTTTCAACAGTCCAAGTACAATATTAAATGCCACATTAAGAAATGTTTCTCGACAATAGAGAGTTACATTAATTTGACATTATCCATTATTAAAATGACAAATACAACAAGGTAACATATTTTTATTTTTTGTCCTACAGATATATTGGGAAACACTATTTTTTTTTAACAACAGATAATCAACATGTTCTAGAAAAAAAAACAGACGTATATAGTTTCAATATTTACTTGACACAATGATATTTTTTCAGAAATACGAAAAAAAAGCTGAAACGAAAAACACAATGAAGATCATCTTTTAATTTATTTAAAATATGATAAAGCAACAAACAAAACCAAAAAAATTTTAGATCAATTATTAAGGAGAATAGCAACAAAACAAGCCAAAACATGCAACTTCATCCCTAATTAGGTTCACAGAAAACAAGATAAAATAGTCATATAATACATAAACTGTTATACACATACACGTACGCATCCAGTGGTTTTGTTTGAGTGAGTAATTGTCTATCAAAGTAACATAAAGTAAACACAAATCAATTACTCATTCTATTAGTAAATTTTTAAAAACAGTTTCTAATTTGTACTTTAAACACGTGGTGGACTAAAACAGATAAGAGACATATTATACGAGCTATCCGACGTCAAACGATACGCTAGATAGATATATTTCTTAAAAGCTGTAAAACATGAATTAGAGTGCTTATCAAATTTAGATTGTTGGCCAACTACTATCAGAAACCCTTTACCTGATTTAAAGCATGTAAATCTGAATATTCTCGTTATCTTGACTTCAAATCGAACCTTCAACGTTGCAACCGTTTAAGAGCAACAACTACTACTAAAGGGGTAACGATACAAAAGTAAAACTATCATTTCTCAGTCTTCAGTTATCAACGATCATTAATAGGATTTTTTTGTCATTAACAAGAACAAGTAAACAACCATCAGAAAAGTAGATTGTAAATCGACTAAATTAATGAACAATGTTTATACCTTGTATAAAATTCTGGTGGACGACGTCTAGAAGTTCTACTTTTGGTACCACTAAAATGGAAGAAAAGATGAGATTTGTATATACAAATAACAACAAAACAGCAGACCTTGAATGACGATCTTCACGAATAACTTTCCCATGAGATGGTGATCGAGAACGTGTACTAAAACAAACAAAACAAAAAAAATCAATTCTATTAACAATAAACAGGAGGAAAATGTTTATTTTTTCACTTACCGACTTCTTGTATAACTACGACGTCTATCACTTGATACCGAGCGATTACGTTGATTTGAACGTGATCTAAAAATACCACAAAAATACACTCAGACATGCTAACATAGAAGAATTAGATATGTCAAAATAAAAAACACGTAATCTCTCTTTCTACTGTTCAAGGTCATTGTTCGTATGTTACCTTTAATAATCCAACAATCCAGACCAGAAAAAACAACAACGTATATGTCCAAATCCCCAAATAATGAAGGAAGCATGTTTTTCTTTCTTTTTTTAACCAAACTCAGTTCTTTTCCAAGAGAAAGAAAAAGTGAGCAAACAACTTGTGTATATTAGTTCCTACACGCTCCATATTGTACATCCATATCTCTAACTGACAATAGACACAGATGGCTCAAACTGCTGCTGCTACTCAGAGCACCATTAAAATCCAGAATACATGTGTGTATGTGCCTTATTTCGTTTGGATAATAACAATCATCCATAATCTGAAGTTTAAGAGAGAGAAGGAAAAATAAATAGTGAAAGAAAAAGATATATGGGAAAGGAGAACGATTGATTTTCAAGTTCTTTTTTAATCATATTAAGCGAAATGAAAAAAAATGAACAGTGCGCTTTTTAATTCTTCTATCACACTTACCTCGATCGTCGTCCATTTCCACTGTGCCCACCACCGTTTCTACTTTTCTTTTGTGACCAAAAATCATTGCAATCTCGGCTAAAATGTCCTTTTTGTCCACATTGATAACAACGCCTACATGAAAAAAGTTTCACAAGTTTGCCTTGAAGAAGTTTTATGCATAAGAGCTTACATGTTTGGATCCCATTTTCTTTTTCCACCTCTTGTTCTTGGTCTTGCCCAAGATACCCGTACACGACTTCCACCAAGAAATCTATAACAAAGAATTTTAAAACGCAGGATAATTTAACTTCTGCCTTCTTACCGTCCATCTAATTCATCGATTGCTCGTTGTCCGTCTTCACGATACTTAACAACGATGAATGCAAAACATGACGCTTGAGCATGCCACACATCTAAGATTGGACCATATTTTTCGATAGCTTTTTCAATTTCACGTTTCGTAATATTAGGTGATAAATCGGCAAAATGCAAACGAAATTGTTCATCCTCACGAAAATGATCATTTGATCGAGATCGAGAACGAGAACGGCCTCCACTTCTAGGAGATAGTGAACGACTATATCCAGGCATCCTGGAAATTTGTCAGATTATTGGTAAGTTAACAAAATTGAATCTATTCTGAAAATAACGAGATTTAAGAATTATGAAATCTCTTACAATTACAGTAAAAGTTCAAGCAACCAGACATTTTTGATGACGGGAGAAACTTCATAAAATAATCTAATTGTCATAGTTTTCCTCTTACTTTACTCTCTCGTTACTTCACTGATCAACAGACAACAAGTAGCATTTTACTGCATATTTACTTTACCTGTCTGACTAAATAAAAAGGTGAAATAATTTGTTTATTTACCTTTATCCAAAGTAAAGTCAAGTCAATTATTTCCTAAAGCAGTATGTCACAATAAATCCTAAACTAAAGTATCCATTTTTTCGTACTTTAGACTTCAACATTCGTGATGTTTTGATCCAAGAAAACGTTTGTCTTTTAAGCGACTACAGTTTTTTTTCCTTTTGCTTGAAAAAAGTAACGCAACGAACTATTTAATTTTCTCCTCTAGTAAAATAAACACTAATTTTATTCATTTAGGAAGTGGAAGTAAAGTGTTAACCGTATACGAGAAATGACACATTGACTTAGAAATTGATGCTAAGAAATCTCTGAAGTCTTTGGGTAATTCTTATGAAAACGTATCGCGTTTACGTCGACTTCATTCGAATCGTTAAATAATGACAGAACTAGTACAACTCGAGCGGCCGATGACAAATATCACGTTCAAAAGATTTCAAAACAACGGCGGAGTGATTTTCGTGCCTATGAGGCCCCATTTTCCAGCAAAACGGACATTTCCATCGTTTTCTAACGAAACATCGTTGAACTGGAACTGTCAGTTTAGAATCTACGTATGAAGGGCTATAGAATCTCTAACGAAAAACAGTTCCAAAACGTTAAGGAAAACAAAGCGTCTCAGAAAAACTTTTACAAAAGTCGCTTTTTTCGAAAAATAGGCTTGTTTTGTAAACTACATTTCCCCGATGAAATTAAATCAAAACAAGACCATGAGATATGCATTCGACCCGTCTTTTCAAGCTCTGTTCGATGAACTTATTCTTATTGAAATTTAAAAATATTTGATCATAGAAACTTTTGAAGACCATGCTCCTTGTTTCTCAAATTTTGAGCACGTGCTACGTCATTCCACAGGACTACAGAGCGGGAGCTATTCTACATCTTCCACGTACTCGAAACCAAAAAGACAGGTATTCATCTTTGACTGAGCACTTACAAAAAAAAAAGTTTTTTCCAGGCAAATACCATACAATTCTCAACTTTTTTTTCCCTTCGAGATCCTGTAACCTCTTCATACGTAGATTCCAATCTGATAGTTTCAACTCAAAGACGTTCCTATAGAAAACGATGAAAATGTCCGTTTTGCTGGAAAATGGGGCTTCCTAGGTACGAAACGGCACTCCGCCGTTGTTTTAAAACCTTTTGAACGTGATATTCGTCATCAGCCGCTCGAGTCGTACTAGTTCTGCTAATATTTAACGATTCGAATGAAGTCGATGTAAACGTGCTACGTTTTCGACAGAATACTCCGTTAAAAATCCTGTTCATCAGTAGAAGTAGCGATGTAAGTCGATGCAAAAAAAAAACGGCGGCGGCTGGCTAAAACTCAGAACTTCGGCGACTGATGGGATATTTCCCTAAATTTTTCGCCGCCTTCGGCTGGCTGATCTTTCAAAACGAGAAATAATGCAGAAAATTATAAAAGTACTGTTTTACTTTAACGAACAGATCGTTCAAAATCACAGAAACATGCATAACTATGTTGAATACGACAGGACTTTATTAGAAAAAACGAATGTACTTTGCGCTTGTTTGTTTTCTTCGTAGAAAAAATACTTTCTTGGTCAGCAAAAAGACTAGTAAGAAAATGTTAACCGTACTCCTCGCAGAAACAAAAGAGGGAAAAAACGAACGACTTGACCTATCGAGAACGACGCCTCAGAATTTCGCATTCGGCGCGGCCCAGCCGATCGGCTTACATCTCTAAGTAGGAGTCATTTTTTTTAAATAGTATATTATCGGTTCACCAACTCGTAAATTTAGACGAATGAAACAAAAATGTCTCCATTAGGGATGAGCGGTAACGCTATAACGCCTTACAATTACCGATGCTTCGGTAACAACTTCAGATTTTTACCGTGATAATCTCAAACTTTTCCCGCAGTAAACTTCGGTAATTTTTTTTACCGTACCCGATAGTAAGTTACCGATAACTACAAAGTTTTTGATAATGTATGTAGATTATTTTTTAAACTACGATGAATATGTTTATTCATCGAAAAGAAATTAACATGAATGAGAAATAGTCAGAAAGTTTTGGTTTAGAGCTACTTCACTTCACAGTTTATCTTTAAAAAACATTGAATATTTAACCATATTTGATTTCACGTTCTGACGTAAGTCAAAAGTTGCAAAATAGTAGTAGTGAAAATGAAAATAGATTTTCGGTAAAAATAATTTTATTACTGTTACCGGCTTACGGTAAAACCTTTAAAATTGCATCACAATAAATATCGGTAAAAAAATCTTTTACCGTTATCGACGGTAAATTACGGTTGCCACTGATCCCTAGTCACCATCTTTTCAATGTTGTTTTCTTGTGATTTTCCCAGCACAAGAAAGAAAGAATTCTATTGGACAAAAATAAGAACCAATGACATGAACACATGCTTCAATAAGCGTCAAGATACGCTAGAACTGGAAGCTAGGCCTATAACACAATAGATTGAATATAAGTTGCCACAATCATTGTAAACTCACAATGACACTAGCGACTTATGCCTGCCTTTCAGTCCTAGCGTACTTTGGCCCTTCAGTAAGAAGAATATGTGGCGGCCATGGCTCTTCTTAGCAACGATTTGAATATCAAAATTAACTACATAGCGTAGACAAGGGTAAAGAGTACCTTGAAAATTTATTGACAGCTAACCTTGCATGTCGAACAATTTAAAGAACGATGTGAAACTGTTTTTTGACTATAGTGTGAGAGACTTTAATATCGAGATGCTTTCGATATCATGATAAGTTGCAACAAAAACTATTTTATTTTTCAAGTGAATAAACCTAATATAGGTACATTGATGGTTGACTATGTACGGCATCTGTTTCAGTGACGTCAAAAATTTCCCTTTTTAGAAATGAGTTCCATTAGACAAATTACACTGTATACTCAAAAAAAATATTTACCTGTTTGTAAAATGAATAGCTTTCGTAGTTGACTGTTTTGTAGAGTACCTCAGATTTCTAGTACCTCAGATGCTTCCTTTTGTTTACTTTAGTTTGTTTTAGACTATTTATTTATTTGTTTATTAAAACTCAACAGATAATATAAAATTAGATGTTGATATCCGCATCTGTATTGAATGTTCTCCACTGCTATCCACTACCATGCTGCTTATGTTCAAAGTGTGTTTCGTTTGTTGATAAATTATGATCTTCATGATCTGAAAGTGAACAGAACAGGAAAGAAACTTATCATTGTTTTTGTTTATTTGGGACCTAAAGGACACAAAGTTAAGCCAATTTGAATGTCAGCATTTTCTTTTTAAACTTTAATTCCATCTCTCCAGTCCAATGGCCACTGAAATAGGGTTATCCCACTGCATCTGTGCCCAAAGGTGTCGAGACAATTTGAAATGAGAATATTCTATATTTTCATTTAAATTTTTTAAAAATTAAATTTATGTAATTTAATTAAAAACTAATCTCAAATGAGATTAAGTTCTTCTCTGTTATCGTACATATCCCATACTAATATTGAAAAACTGAAAATTTTCCTGTTGATTTATGTAAGAACTTGAATCGACCGCACTCGAAACGCAAAAACTCAAATTTGAGTTGAACTAACAGAACAAATATCAATTTGTTCAATAATATGGATGCTTTTAATGTTATGAGAGGTCATTCACAAGAACGAAGGAACAATGATCTGAGTCATATTTTCATCAGGACAGAAGAGATGTCAAAATCGCTTAGGGTATTAACTGAAATTTTATTAAAATTCATAGATGTCGGGGGCATGTACACAATCTTGACATAAAACATAAGTAAATTTTGTTTTCGAATCATTTGCTATACGATATATCAAGAGCGCTTGTGAGTCGCTTCTTGGTTGAATGTATACACCTCGCAGAAATTTTTGTATTTGTTTAGTTTCACAAAAAGAAAAATGAAACAAATAAAACTAGCAATTCTAACTATGTAGAAATATATTTGCCAATGGTAAGATTTAATAAAGTTAAAACCCTACCTAAAACGTATCGGCAAACTTGAAGCGAAAACCTAATTAAATCCACTCGTTTGCGCAATCAAACATAATCATTATTATCTATGATGTTTACAAGCTACTTCTTACACGACAGAAGAAAGTATTATGACATTAATCACGAGAGAAGAATACAACTTTAGATTATCAATAGCTTTAATTGCTTTAACTAAACGCCAAAAATAAACGTAGAACAGATATTTCGGCAATCAATATTGCATGTAACACAAAACTGAACATTTTTTAAACACTAAAACACATTATGCTGAACGAAGATCATTGTTTTAAACATAATTACAATTAGAAAACAAAATGAAACAAGGATTCTAGCATCAAAAAGAACCCAATCAAACATGTTGTGAAATAAATCGCATACAACTGACCAACATGAGAAAACGTGAATGTGAATAAACTGTGATAAAATTAAAAACACAAGTAGCATACAAAAAAAATGTGTATAACTATTGAGTTCTGTGAAATTTCTAGACTAGATGATGATAAGACAGCAAAGGTATCACAATGCCATCACCTCCATATTCGACAAGTATTATCTTTACTACCTAGAAATAGAAACATCAAAAATTTAATAACTATGGGTATAATTGAAAGCAGAGTATTTTAGAAAACTAGCATAGCACTCGTTTATTAACCTGTTATAATCGTGTTTCCTTCATAATTAAACGCACAACTAAATATTTCATCTGTATGTCCCTCTAATATTTGTTTACATTCACCAGTTAATGGATCCCAGATTCGCGCTGTTTTATCTGCACTCGCAGTTATAACACGATTTCCTTGAGGATTAAATACAATCTATAAATATGGAAAATACAGTAAGATTATTAAACAATTAAAAAAGTCTTATACTAAATACCTTAGATATTTCTGCTTGATGTCCATTTAAAGTTGCTATGCACAGTTGATTAAATGCATCATAGATTCGTCCTGTTTTATCAGCCGAAGCTGTTGCAATATACTGGCCAGTACAATCGAACACAACATCTAGAACTTCATCTTCATGACCACGTACTGTTCCAACACATTCGCCTATAACCGTATATAAAATTCATGACAAGATCGAAATAAAAAATCGAATTAAATAACTCTCATACCTGTCATTGCATCCCATAATTTACACGTTTTATCCATACTACCCGTGACAATACGACTACAATCCCAATTAAATTGAGCACTACTCACTTCAGCCGTATGTCCAATCAATGTATGAATTTTTCTAGAATAAAAAATAATTAACATTAGAAGAGATTGAAAATATTCCACTATAGTCGAGCACAAAAGAAAAAAATAGGATAATTTTAATTATAACTTACTCTCCAGTTTTGACACTCCATATGGCTACTGTTCTATCAAACGATGCTGTTATCACTTGGTCACCTCTTGTGTTAAAACTAACAGATATAATTTCACCCGTATGTCCATGTAACGATGCAATTTCTGTTCCAGCAACGATATCCCATAATTTGGCTGTGTGATCCATACTGCCCGTAACAAGAACCGTGCTTTGAGGATTAAATGCTAAACATACCTTCACATAACAAAAAGAAAAGATCAGTCGGGAAAGTGTGATTATACAAAAGTACTTACGATTTCACCAGTATGTCCACGAAATGTATGATAACATGTACCGCGTTCTGTACTCCATAAACGAGCAGTTTTATCAAACGATCCAGTTGCTATTTTGTCTCTAAAAACATACATTCATCGTATTATTATTGCTCCATATCAATTTTATAAATTTACCCATATGGATTATTGAAACTTATTGCGTAAACAACATTTTTGTGTCCTTCTAATGTGTGTAATTCTTCTCCAGATGCTGTATCCCAGACCTTACACGTACGATCGTATGATCCAGTAATAAATCTTCAAAATAAACAACCTATATTAGTCATAAATTCTCACCGTTCCTAAAACCGATACTGACGTTGATCCAGATTTATTGAATGACACACTAGAAAACATGAGCACTGAATATAAAGAACAAATATAGATTAAGGTTACTTACTAAGTTAATGGAAGAATATGTGCACGTAAAACCTGAAAAACAGAAATTACTTTGATTATCTGCGGATAAAACAACTAACGTAGTAAAACTTCTTGTAATTAAGATCTTGTGCAAGATCATAGTCTTCCCAAACAACTATGTCCAAGAAAGAAAAAAGTGAAACGTGATTCTGAGTATAAAAAACTTTCGCACTTATATGCAAACAAGAGTACAAAAACAAAACGATGATTTAAGAATTAGCAACGTAAAGAAGGCAAAAAGTTTCAAAATAGTCCATATCTTAACTTCTTGAATTTTTATGTATCCAGATCTTAATGAAAAATATCGAATGGTCAAGACCTTAGATACAAGAAGTTCCACGAGATAAGTTTCTTACTTTGAATAAATAAAATCGTCTATCATCTTGTTGTGAAATTTTTTCCTGCAGTCCTATTGTACAAAACGATAAAGTTATTTACTAAATAGAGATAAAATTGCTTTAATCTTTACTTTCAACAAGCTCTCTGACTTTTTCAATTTTTGTTGATGTGATCAGTGGTTCTTTCCTAACAATTTCTTCGACAATACTATTTACATCCGTGCTAAACAACGAAAATAATTGCTATATTCTCTGTTTTAGAAATGAAGTTATAAAGAGTATAATTACTCTGCTTTTAAATCTAAGAGATCGATTGATTTTGTTTTCAAGACATTGCTTTGTTCATATTCCAAAATAATTCCTTCAAAGAAAAAAAATAAATGATTGAAGTGACCAATGAAATTAGACTTGTGTTTGCTAACCTGGTGGATAATATCGTAATAGAAAACGTTTTAGTCGCATTTTGAATGTTTATCTACAAGAAAATTAAAGATTAGAGTACTTTATAAGATAATTTGAAGGCAGTGCTCTGTGATCGTGAAGGATAGATACTAAAAAGTATTTTTCCTAACATGAATCAAATAGCAATGTTGTTTTTTTACTACGATTATATCATTTATTCATAAAGCAATGTATTATTATCTTCCTGTACGAAAGTATTGTGAACTTTTTTTGTCAAACTGCCATGCGATAGTCAATTTTTCATCTTATAACATGACTGTTTTTCAAATTTTCTTAGGTTGCTATGAAACCCCTCCATCATGATGACTACATGAGTTTAATCACGAAAACGAAAACAATTAAACCACGTATTTAAATAGAGTGACATCTTTAATATCGATCTCATTTTAAAGTTTAAAAATTGGTATGTTAATTATGTGCGAAGAATCGAATAGTGATAATTCGAAGAATAAGTAACGTTTCAATAACATGAGTTAATAGAGCGCTTTTAATGAGTCGATAGAATGTGCGACTTCTTCGTCATTAAGTATTTCAATAAAGATTTTCTGATGTACAAATGTTACTTACAGTACCCTATTGAAAGTACTCATAACATGAGTACGCATCTAAGTGCTCGTGGGTAAAAAAAATGCATGAGTACGCATAAGCACTAGTCGCATTTTTCAGCAGAATACGATTTTGAGTACATTCACTGAAGTAACGATTACCACACCGACATTTTTTGACAGTACAGACAACAGATAGTTATAGTTCATCTTCATTCAATTAGTTAAATTTTTCCATCTCATCTTTGAGTACAAATATATCTGCCATGCTTAATAAGACGGTAATTTATTTATCAATGATATATGTATGTTAATAGAGTACCAACTATTGAGTTTCCTCCTGATCTGACTTTTCTCACTCAAGATAATTCATTTCCACAGGGATAGAGAAGGATCAGTTGTTCGGAGTTTGATGCAGTATCTTCTTCTTCCAAAGTATCTGCAAATTACAAATTCCTTACTCTGAAAAACAATCCATATTTTTTCAACAAACCAAAAGCATGACAATACTTCAGTTTATAAAGTTATACTGAACAATCGTGGAATGAAGTATAAATATTAATTATCTCATCCACCTTATGTAATGGCTCTCCTCTTAGGTTTGTATATATAAGTTCTTTTTCTTCTCAAAATAAAGTTTAAATTAATTGTCTTGTCAAAGCCAAGTTCTACACAATATGCTCAGTGTTCGGAACTGAATCGTAAATTAATTAAAGCACATGTCACAAAAATAAATTCAGATCGTTCATCTGCATAGCTTTTGAAGAGTGATATGGTAGTACACTTGTATGATATGGTAGTACACTTGTATGATATTATATATAGCCGAGAACGAGTGGCTGACTCAAGAGAAAACAGTGCTGAAATGAGAGAATTTTATATTAAAAAAGAATATATTTTCCCAGTTACATAGTGTGCTTAAAAAGAGAACAAAAAAATGATTCATAATTATAATCTTCTCTATCAAGATGATCATCTGCTCTTTCATACACATATTCCTTTGTATTCTCGATCATTTTGACCATGCATACACATGACATATAGAATGATTTTTGTGACTGTTATTTGCAGGTGTTCAATATAGAAAAGGTTCAACGTTAGTGTCAATATATTTTCATATTTTTAAATAGTTATCAACTACTTGAATAACCACGTATATATGAATGTTAAACATTATTAAAAAGTAGGATGGCTTTTAGTTTTTTCTGATAAAAGCCAAGACTAGCTTAATAAAAAGTTAATGAATATTCCGTTTAATAGTGTGTGTGCTAGTGAATATTCTTATTGTCCACAACGTTTGAGAGTTGCAATTTGGATTGTCTCTGTAATAATGAAAAAATATTACAATCGTCGTTATTGATGCCCTTAGTCGATGACTTAAAATGTTTTTACATTTTTGATTAAACATTCTGCTTGTCGTTTATGAAGGTTTTCTTATTTATTGAGGTGCATTTAGATTTCCAGCTGAATTCTTTATCCTCTACTAAATCAAGGAAAACCTCTGCTTTAAAGAGAAAAGCAATATTGTCACCGTACATATGTTTCATTTTTTACTCTTGTTTTAGGTGAATTAATGTATACGTTGTCAAATTCAGAACTTGAACGTTCTTCTCAATTAGGTAGAACAAAATGATAATTATGTTTGTATTTTCTTATTTTTTTCTTCTATTTTTAGTTTACCTTCAAGATAATTCCAATCATAACATTTTATTACAATCGCCAATTCAAGAATATGTTTTGCCAAATCCAATTTATAATTCTCCAATATCTACTCATCCTGTTTGTTTTACTTCACCCATGGTAACATTTCATTCTCAACGTCAAAAATGTTATCGGTCACAACACCAACAACATCATACACCACAACTATTTTCATCACCCAAAATATCGGCATGTTTTAGTCGTTTATCATTTCAACCAGAATATTATCCTGAACCACATTATCGATGTCAGACAACACAGCAACAGCCAAATATCTATCATAGGTAAGACTAGTAATACAGACAAGCCAAAATTCTAATGTAAATATTCATAAATATAACTTCAAAAAAGTGATAATATAGTCAACTCTAGCTCAGATTGACTCAAAGTCGGAATTAAATTCTTACTGTATCTTATAAGTTCTACATCCTTATGCAAGTTATATGGAGTGCTATAAGATTTTAACACATGCACATCTAAATTTTAGCTAACATCATTTTAACAAATCAAATTGTTTTTCTAATTTCAGCCCATCAACTGGTCTTAAACGTCAATGTCAATATCAATATGAAATTGGATCACCAATTAAACGTCATTATGTCGAGTCACCTCTTTCACCATTAACAAATCATTTACAATTAAACACAAATATTCAAAATATCAAAGATGGTGTTGTACCGTCCATTCGTTATATAAGAACCCCAGTTGTTCTAAATACATTGAGAGGTCAGAAAACAAAGTTTAATCTAAGTTTTTTCTTTACAGTTTTTTTATCATCATTTAAATGTTCTAATTTTTATAATCAAAAAATTTTCGCGTTTATACTTGCCTTTTACTGTTTAAGATGATATACAAACGCTACCACCACAGACATCACTAAGCGATTCTGTTGTACCAACACAACTCGTTCAGCATTCTGCGCCAACTACACCTATAACTTCCTATTCAAAACAACAGTTTATACTGGATACTTCATTACCATCATCATCATCAAAATTAAACAACATTCAAAATGTAGAAAATTTATCAATGAATTCTGAACGTCGTTTACGACATAATTTGGAACAAAAACGTAGTCAACAAAAAATAAAAGATGCTTTTGAGTTATTACGTTTAACCTTGCCAGAAGAATTGGTATCCACACAAACGTCACTTTCACCACGTTCAACAATGACCCGACGAGAAATAATTGATGCCGCAACAAAGTATATGCAAAAACTAGATATGATGTTGAAAATACAACAACAGTAACCAAATATTTGTGAAATCCAGGATAAAAAACTAAGAGAGGTCAATATCTGTTTATACTATTTAGATTTATGGGATTTATTTTTATTATTTTTTTTACATGTATCGTATTCTATCTTCACGATCCTTTTGAATAAAGATAGCTAATAAATAAAATCAATACTATTTTTTCTTAAGTATCTTTCGACTAGGCATACGGTAGCAAATACCGGTTTTGTATGAAATTCATGGGCTATCGTTAGTTCTCACTAATTTTCGTTTTTTCGTAAACAGTGTACTCATTACACTGAGGACACGGTGAATGGAAACTTTGTTAGTAAAGGAAATAATTTTTTTCATCAAAGCCGAAGTTCAATTCAGACAATTCTTTCGCTAACAAGTAGTCTACAGAGTAACAAATCGACATCGATATTATTTTCAATGGTCAAATGAATCTGACTTACCAAAAAAATTAATTTTCGTTATTCTGATCAATTTTTGAGAAAATTTTCTAGTTCCTAGCTTCTAGATTTTCTCATTGTTCCGCTGATGATTAAAAGTTGCTATTTTCGGGAAAGATAGTCACTAATTCCAACTTTATGATCATTCAATAAAAAATGAATAATATAAACTTCATCTTTTTGCTAATGTCTGCCTAGTTACCTAGTGTGTGTGAAAGGGAGCCTTCAGTACATGAAAATATCTATTTATCTAAAAGTGATTAAATCTTCTGTCACCTATAACGGAAATAGTTGAATTTTATTTTATAATAAATATGACATTTTACAAAACATAATTTGTATTTAACGAAAAAAATAACAACGACAATGTTAACAAGAAAATGACATGCAATAAACAACTGAAAATCCCCCGAAAACTTTTAAGTCGCTATGTTATATACACACTTCCATCCTCTGGCGTTAAATATCCACAAGCAATAAGTAATGAATCAATCAATGTCCATATGCCTAAACCTCCGAATGAAAAAATCTTGCCAAAACCTTCCTTTATTTGTCCTAAATAAAATCGATCAACACCAAATCCTCCCAATAGTATACTCAAAATAAAAACTGTCCGTGTACGATATCCACTTGTAAAATTACATTCTACATTTCGACGAAACGTTCTTGAACCCAAACATAGAATATTTGAATCAATCGTACAATTTGATGAATAATAATCGTGTTTTTTACATTGTAAATTTGGTGTACACGTATGATTGTCCAATGGCACTTGATAACAATAACGACATATATAATTCTTTTCAAATTCTCGAACTTTCATATTCGATGTAGAGTATACTAAACATGTTCCGTTTAACATTGTACATTTTGTAGATAATATCTGACCGTATATGCAATCTGTTTTTAATGGACATTCTAAACACTCAACGGGAACATCGTGACAAGATATCAAACTATGCAGAAGACATTGACGATTTGTAAGTAATGCTGACTGAACACTAGAAATTAGACTTGTTACGTATAGAAATGGAAATATTATCCGGTTCACAATTCGATGCAATAGTAGATTGGTATCATATATCATGTGGTCATTGTTTCTAGAAATAAAAGCAGAGAATAATAATATCGTTTCTATTTTGTGTCACAGATAACAATAGAAACTGAACGCAATGAAACGTCCAAGATTTATATTCACTAAAGTGTTTACTATGCGTTACATAAACAATAACAGCACTAACTTCATATTCTTCTCGAAGAATTTCGTCAGAGTAATCGAAAAGCGAAAGAGTTCTTGTTTGGAAAAATTCCTTCATTTTTCTCTGTATTCTGAGTTTCTTTAATTTCGCTGGAACTTAAATTTCGATTTTATTTTAATTGACGAATCATTTGCCATATGTAATAAATATAACGTAGCTCTTAACTACGAAAGAGAAATGAACTTACAGTTTATATTTGGCTCATCGATTATCCAATTCCTTTTCCAATACCAAGAGAAAGTATAACGGTAGATTAAGTCTTATAGGATCTTTCGTTGGTTTTTCAAATATTCTATCTATTCATTAGTGAAATAAAAGAGTAAATTTTGAAAAGCAAACTATTTTTCTCTCTTTTTAAACGTCAATTTCAAAAAAAAAATATCAGTTGATCACTGTAAATATTTCATATATGATGAAACAAACAAACGTTAACAGAAAAAAAGGAGAAAGTATCAGAGAAAAACAGTAATAACATCATCCCAAATAAGGGTAATAATGTACGAAAGATCAAATTAATCAAAATAACAATCGTTTTTTTTTCTTTGGTAAATACAGAAAAAAAAACAAAAAATATCGGTCGGAAAAAGCATGATTATTTTATAAAAGAACAATAAATAAAAAAACATTTATTTGAAGAAAATGAATCGATTTCATACACCTGACACAAATCCCAAGGATAGAGAGTTAGGAAAATTCGATAAGTAAAAGAATAACTGACATCACATAGACCATTCTCAATTTTAAACAGAACTTAGGCTCATATATCTGCAAGTTATCATGATTATGCAACGAGCTATAGAGTAGAGAGCACAGTGCTTGTCTTACATTCTCAACAGGTAAGCAATGTTGTTCACACTGCTATTTTTATCAGCTTATCTATCTACACACCGAGCTAAAGAGTTTTGACTTCTAAAATGTAGTTAAAAATGTATAAGTTAAAAATATATAAGAATATGGTGGAAATGACAGACTATTAGATACGATGTAATCGTCTAATGGTTTACAATTAACAAAACAAAAATGTACAGTTTGTTGGTAAAATGTTTAACAAATACAATATTCTACTGTGTTCTATCTCATTCTCAGCATTCTAGCACACTTATAAAATCTGAACGTTAAAAGAAATAAGACATGGAAAAACTTGAACAACACTAATCATACGTATTGCCATAGTACTGATCTATTTTAATGATGTATATTGTTGTAATTTGGTCTGTATTGGTGGTGCACATTTAACTTGAATAAATTTAAGAATATAGAGTGGTAAACATGATGCCAATGTCACAATTAATACTTTCCAAATAAAATCAAATGACTGTAAAAATGCTGGATCAAAATGGGATTTAAATACAATTAATGATATCACATAACCACTTAAACTTAATAACTGAGCAACGATCATCAATGGATGCCATGTACCTAAAATAAATGAATACACTTTGTAATGTGGTTGTATATTGATACAAAGTATTGTTACATACGTATTGTTAACGCCACCATTAACAATTCTGTTAATATCAATGATGTGAATGTAATCGATACAACATGAATAAAATCATCATCGAATAACAAAAATGAACCATACATAATCGCACCACCTTGATAAATGGAAATAAATACCCAGAGAAAAAATGTTTTAAATGAGAGTGAACGTCCTTTTGATAACTCTTTATATAATTCTGGATACAATAAAGCAATTTCTGAGTGTACATCTTTATCTAACACCAATGAAAAAACAGGAAACATTGTATAAATTGTACCATAGCCAACTAATAGAAAACCTTGATAAAGTGCAACAGATGCATAATAAAATATTGATGAGAAAACAGCTTGCATAACACTGATAATAAGACCACGATGCATGACAAATTGAGATAAAGCAGCTGAACGTTTATACGAATTACGTCCATGTACCAGTAACAAATCAGATAAATAACTAAATTGATTTATACTAAAATCAGCGGCCAATGATGCTTGTTTTCCTAGAGTAATAGAATTAAAATAATTTGATTATATAGTTTAATTAATATTTTAATAAACGTACCTTCTTTTCCTACAATACCCACGCCAACATCAGCTGCTTCTAAATAAATATACAAATGCAATAGTAAATTGTTCTAAATGTAAAATTTTTCAACTTACGTATCATGCTGACATCGTTTCCTCCATCTCCGACTAGAAAGAAAAAAAATGATATACGTTACTCAGAAGTGTGATTAAAAGAATACTGACGAAACAGTACAGATGATGGCAACATATTAGCTACTTTAAATTAGAGAAATAATCATATAAGATATAAACTACTTACTAGCACACACTCTCACGCGTTTTTGTCCATATTTTTTTAGTAGACTAACAACATTTGCTTTTTGTGTTGGTGAACATCGACAAACGACAACAGCCGGACATTGAATAATCAATTCCATCAGATCCGATTCATAAAATCCTAGACATATTTGTAACGTATCACCGGTAATAATTAGACACGAATCGGTTTTACGTCGAAACATATTCAATTCTTGTAAACAATCTTCACGAGTTGTAATTGTTTTAAATGTGTAAATATCATGTTCACGTCCAATCAATTTTGAACTTTTAGCTATACAGGTTGCAGTTTCTAATTTATCACCAGTTAACATCCATATTTTAATGCCTGCATTACGCAAGATTTCTAGTGTTTGACGAACATTTTCTTGTAATTTATCTTCAACTCCTATAAAATATGCATGACGATAATATCACTTACGAGGCAACCGCCCCAGGTGTCCGGCTCCGATTTCGTTCGTTCATACATCATTCGATAGAGGATCTCGAGTAGGCAAAAAGGCTAATAGGATTTGGGCGGAGGGCCCTTTAAGACCCGGTTTTCTGGAAAACCAGTTTTTCAGAAACTCTAAAAAGATAACCAGCACCTTTCTTAAT